TTAGCCGTGCATCTTTAGATTTCAAGCAATGTCTCTACCTATAAAGATATGCCCGGAAAAGTGATACACTGGCAAGTTCTCCTTCTGATTGTGGCAGAAAGGATCATGAAGATTTACGTAACTATGGGTTTAAACCACAGCTGACAGATACATTCTTTGCATGCAAATGTGTTGATAAAGAATAGGTTGTGTGCAGGAGGATAGACATTTTTAATATATGAGCCCAACACACCAGTAGCTGGGCATAGCTGTCTGAAATTAAGAGTTCATCATGGTGATTTAACTAGAGAGTAACAACAGTACCTATCTATTCCTTTTGCAGAAGAAGTAGTTCATGATGGCATATTGATTTGGAAGACTTTTCTCTAACTCTCCAGGTTTGAAAGATAAGGATTAGGATCTCTGACCTCTTTCTGTGGTTCACCATGATTTGCAGCTTTTGTTTCTAGCAGCATCAACCTGAAGTTTATTATAAGTACTAAAATGTATCTCCAGGCTTGTGATAAGTGAAGGCAGGTAGAAGTAAAATTGTGAAGTGTTAGTTTCTGGGCTAAACATCCGTGTCAAGGTTTCCTGTGACCGTGGGAGGGGCTGGACCCACTAACCGAGATGCTGCCTCCCAGTCCTGTGTTCCTGCCAGAATTCTTTGAGCCCTTCAACAAAATACTCCAGGAGGTTGGATGATGTTTACTTAATCTTGCCAAAAGCTTTTGTTGAAGAGACCCTTGAAAGCAGTGCCTGAAGCCCTGTGCTGAGACTGTAGAGGACTGTCATCAACCACACAGTAGCAATGGAGTCAGGACAAAGCAAGAATAAATGGCAAGGTCTCAGAGAAATAGCCGAAGGCATCTGTGTTTGATAACATTAATTTCTCAGCTGGGTAATTATGAAAAGAAAGACAGCAAAATTTTCAGTTGATTTTAGGACATTAAGGACAAGAGACAGGAAGGTCTTTCAGAAGCACCTAGAAGGTAAATGGACAGACAGGACCCTGCCAGGAAAAATCTATTGGTTAAGTATCATAGAATCATAGAATTGATGGAATGGTTTGGGCTGGAAGGGACCCCCAAAGGCCATCTAGTCCAACACCCCTGCAGTGAGCAGGGACATCTTTAGCTAGAGCAGGTTGCTCAGAGCCCCGTCCAACCTGACCTGGAATGTTTCCAGGGATGGGGCTTTGATCCCTTCTCTGGGCAGCCTGTTCCAGTGTTTTGTGAAAGATTTTTTCCTTGCATCTAGTCTGAATCTACCCTCATTTAGTTTAATAACAATAGTTCTGGGCTGCAAGTGCACATTGCGGGCTCATGTCCAGCTTTTCATCCACTATGTGAGTAACAATTACCCACATTGCTACATTTTTTTTAATGTTCTGTAAGAGTGCATAGGGTGCGTTCTCCATTACCTAAATGCCTGCAGGTGCAAGTAGGTGGTCCCTGCGATCTGGTGTTCATTCCAGTCCTGTGTGTCGAACGGTTGGTATTCTCCAAGTCTGGCCATTACTGTGAAGAGTGCAGCTGAAGAATCTGCTTAAATGGTGTGTTTGCTCTGAAGTTCAAAAGTGTACTGAACCGTTTGAAAACACCACCAAACACGTAATGATGCACATAAGCTCACCCGTGGTTATACTTTTAATTCAGGTTTTCTGTCACAGCAGGCCAATGCAATGTACATCATTAGAGATGTGAAAGAGGCCCCTTCTAAAGAGGGACTGAAAGAATAGTGTCTGTGAGGACACACTGAGGTAAAACTGCTCAAATCCCTGAACATTTAAATAAAATTTAAATCAAACATTCATGCATGCCATACCTTACAAACACAAAGGAGGGCTTAAATTTTAAATACAGCTTGTCTCTTATATGAAATCTGGGATTCCTAACCCTCTGTATCATATAACTTCCACAGTTTACTGGCACAATATAACAGCAAGAATAAACTCTTAGTAGTTGATGTAAAACTTGGATGACAAAGTCCTGTCTGCAGAAATCAATGGCAAAATTGTAACTGTATCAACAGGACCACTTGATGTGTTTGTACTGGCTAGAGGTATGACAGTTGTCTCAAGGTAAGCTAACTTGTGTGTTCAGAAGAGTAGGCTGAGCATGTTAAAGGAATGCTCCTAAAGGACTGATGCATTACAGTGCATCTAATATCTGATCGTCTCCATCTGAAGGCAGTATTCGTTCCATAGTCTACAGAGAAGACTTGCACTGACTACTCACTGGCTGCAATGAGACAAGTCTGAGTTCAGAGCTGTTCTAGAAAACATGGAGCAACCCTGGCTATAGAGGATTAGGAAGTCATTTGCCGTGCAGACAGTAATTTTCCATCCACTACTGGCCCTTGTTATCAGAGAGCTGATCAAGTGGAATACTGGGCCAAATTGTTCCCATGTGTCTGATGAAGGGGGCTCTGCCCCAGGGCCCTGGTGCATGTGCAGGAGGTCTTACATTCATAGATTCGCTGAATCACAGAATGCTTTGGGTTGGAAGACACCTTTAAAGATCACCTAGTCCAGCCCATCTTTGATGGGTAGGGACATCCTTCACTACATCAGGTTGCCCAAAGCCCCATCCAACCTTGAACACTGCCAGGGAGGGGGCAGCCACAACTTCTCTGGACAACCTGCTCCAGTGTCTCACCACCCTCACAGTGAAGAGCTTTTTCCTAATATCTAATCTAAATCTCCCCTCTTTCAATTTGAAACTGTTATCCCTCATCCTATCACTACACACCCTGGTAAGGAGTCTCTCTGTCTTTCTTATAAGCCCCCTTTATATATTGAAAGGCTGCTATAAGGTCTTCCTGCAGCCTTCTCTTCTGCAGGCTGAACAACTTCAATTATCCAGCAGAGCCATTTGGCCTTCTGTTGCTCGATATCCACCCTTCCTGCCACCGTGTATATAGTTGTGTCAGTTGCTAAGCATGTGAGAGATGAGGAAATGCTAAAATAGCAATACTTTTTGAACAATAGAAGTTAAATAAAAAAATTGTAGTGCTTATAGCATATTATGGGGCTACTTCCTATTTTTAGCCTGATCATACTTCTATACTGCTACTCATTGTATATGCATTTGAACATCACCCAGTTTCACAGTTAAATTAAAAAGGATGAAGAGCAATGGCCACGTGTGAAGGAATTTGGAATTACAGATTGCATGGCTAAGAAACCCTTCAGACCTGTGGTGCGGTGATTTGTACTATGTTATGGCACATTGGCTTCCAAAGCGACTCATACTCATTAGCAGGAACAGTTAAATACTGGGTTTGGCCTGAGTGTGAAGGGAATGGGTAATTTCAGCATCTGGTATATATATTACCTGCCTTTGTTAGACTATCATGTTTTACACTTGGCTCTTAGTAATCCTTTTCAGGCTTTATCAAAGTAGAAATCACAGCCATAGTTTTCATTCCTCCTTTTATAAACTGGATGTTAGGAAAGGACAATGAAGAAATTCTGGGAGGTAAAACCTGATCTGATACGTCCTTGTTGTGGTACCTGAAACATTATTGTTCAGGATTTAGGCTAAATACATGAATAAAAGCCAATTAAGTTACTAATTCCTGTAATACCAGTGAAGGCATGAAAAGGATGAGTTAGGCATGGCATGACTATCAGTAACTCCAAAGTAACAACATTGGCAGGACTTGCATGTTTCCACATGGTTACAAATCTATTCACGTTACTGCTGAAACTGATGTATTTTAAGAAAATATACTTTAAAGAACATAAAATAGCTGCCACCACTCCCCACCCCCCATCAGAATCCCATTCTGCCAGTTGAAGTGCTATCACAGGAGACTGTCTCTGGTGACAGTGACAGTGCCAGCACTGACAGCCATCTCGGTGCTCATGTGGCAAAAGGCTTTCTGACAGCTTAGAAAAATGTCAGAATAGCAGCTTCCCTTTTTCGGGAGATATTTTACCAGGTTAATATTGTGGCTGTTTTGAAATGAATTTCTTTCAAAAACACAACAGAAGAAAGCAATTTACACAAATGCCAAGAAAGCATGTGAGTCTATGCGTGTCATGAGAATAAAACCTTAAATTTTAGCTGGAATTAGTGAAGCAATCACCTGTTCCTTTTTCCTCTTGCTCACAAGAAAAATATTAAAAAATAAAAAAATAACAAACTAGCATCACCTTCAAAACTGGAGATGTTTAGTGGCTGTGTCTAAATGAACAACATACACATCAGTGTTTCAGGTGGCTAAGTCTTTGAATTGACAAAGCAATTACACTCCAAAATAAAAGGTTCACTGTAACTAAGCAGAAATCAGCTACGTAACAGACGGTGCTATGGCTAGGATGGAAATGCTGCAGAAATATTTAAAAGAAGTGACAGCGTCCTTTCACAGTAGAGCAGTCGAGACTGCATTTTTCCACATGACATGTCCTTGTAATTCTAGGTTTTGTGATGAATAGTGGAAATTCCTTTCAGTTAAGGATTTTTGGCTCCTCTGTCCAAATATCACATGCAGGATTATACAAAGTTAGTCCCTGTTGGAAAGAGGGAAAAAAGGGAAGCTATCTGAGGGTGTATCAGAGGGTGGTACATGATGGAGGGCATTTAGGAGCTGTGCCAAGCAGGTGTCCTGTTCTCAGTTCCCCCCTTGCCCTGAAAGTGACTCCTTTTCACCGAGTACAAACAGCAGCCACCTCCCCTTCATGAGGTCAGATGGATGACTCGGAGCGTGGAGAGAGGGAGAGGAAAGTGCGTGAAGCTCCTGCTTACCCTGCTTAGTCAGGCCTAATATCAAGATGTTGTCCTCTGGGCCTCAAAAGGGTGTCTTGGAAACTTAGATCTGGTTCTAAGTCAGTGGGAAGTGGCCTCCTGGCGCTCTGCATTGCCTTTTCCCAGCGTAACTTGAGAGTACCTGAGGACCTTCCAAAGGCATTGTATGCCTGTTACAAATCAAACCAGATCCTACCGGAAGCACCGCATTCTGTGCATGTTTTTTATGTATGTCCTGTAAATGTCTTTTTTTTTTTTTTTTTCCAGAAACGAGAAGAAATATATAAGCAGATACTGGAAAGAAGTGAAAGTTGGAGACTTTGTGCAGCTTCGCTGTAATGAAATTATACCTGCTGACATATTGCTGCTCTCCTCAAGTGATCCCGATGGGCTGTGCCATATAGAAACAGCTAACCTGGATGGTGAAACTAACCTAAAACAAAGACAGGTGGTGAGGAGGTTCTTAGAGCTGGTAAGTCATCATTCCTAACTCTCATTTAAGATAAGAATTTGTTTCAGGTAAGTAAACTGTTCACCAATCCACTCCACACCAGCTAAATCTGCTTGTTCTAGTGGTGCTAATGAATCACTGTTATGGTTGTTATTAAAATACTAGCACTTGCCAACAGCTGACCTCATCATAGTATCAGAAGTTTTACCATAATTTTTCCCTGAATTTGAATAGGAATTATTTGGGGCAATTGTGTGCGGTTGGAAAATGTTGGGGGGTTTTAATGGCTTCTATTGTAGTTTGATTTTTGAAAACACATTTTAACTGCCCAGTGAGAATATATTTAAATATAAACAACTACTTTTCCTGCCTGCAAACCAGATCAGTTTCAATTAGGAATTTTGCCTGAAACTCTGTGTTACAGAATATCCCTCCAGCACTTCAAGCATTAAATCCTGTAAGATTTAAATGGACAGCATGCATGGATTCTGGAGGTGTTTGTGGTGAAGAACTATTTTATTGCTCTTTCGCTGTGCTTCTCTCTCCCCAACAACACCATTTTAAAACAAAACAAAATCCAGATCAGTTACTGTCAGCAGTATTAGAGGAAATTACCTGAAGTTTTACTCACTTTAATACTCTTACTGAAACACTATTTATTTTTATGCTCTCCTCTCCTATCCCTCTTGCCAGCTAACCCTAGTTTCCTGTATTTTGTCAGGAAAAAAATAAATTCTTTTCTAGAACTCAGCTACATCTTTTTTCCCGGTAGTTTTTCTCATTTGAGAGATTTTGCAAACAATGGGAGCCACTGCCCTTACCACTGTCATGAAAGGTAACTACGGAAGTCTATAGCCATACTGAAGTAGATCAGCATTAATGAAGTTTCAATCCAACCAGTAGGATAAAAATCAATGTGCCTTCCAAATAATTCTTTATGGTAGAAAGAGCCTTTCTCTGAATAGCTTGTAAAAATGTGAGGTAAAGACTTGTTTAATCATGAGTGATTTCCACATAGAATTTAGACATGACACGGCAGCTACCGCCACGGCAAGAAGCTTAGTCAGTTACAGGCCAAATGTTTCAAAAACTCTGATTGTTTCAAAGAAGCTAATTGAATTGCTTCTCAAACATCCCATCCTGTTCCCACTGAGAGGAAATTTCTCCCAGTGGGTAGAGCTCCAGGGAGGTACTCAGATGATGTATCCAAGTTCTCTGACAGTGAGGACTTCCTACGTGACCGCAGGCACGTTGTGTAGGACAAAAAATGTAGATTGCAGATAGGCTACTGAATACAGGGATGCTTTCGTGTTTGTAGGTACAGTTATAAGCTAAGGGCATTCCCCAATGCTATCTCAAAGGAAGACCTGAGAAGGCACCAGTTCCTTCACTCATCAACAGCAGATGTTTGGGTTTCTGTCATCCAAGACCATCTGACACACAGCGGGAGATGTTGGTAAACACAGTGAAAGGAATTGATGTGTCCAAGTACAGACCATCGCAAGACTGACTTTCAAGAGTCCAGCTGCCCGGAGGAGTCCCTTACACTGCATCAGGATCCCCAGCTTCCTGGCAGCAGAGTTGCAATTCATCATTAGAAGTATGATTCCTGGAAGCTGGCAGGCTGAGAGGGGCCCTGCCGACCCTACAGAATCCCCTGCTCCTGGGAGCTGTGATGCCTAGATGTGTGCCTGAGCCGTCAGTTGTGGAGTCACTCTTCTGTCTAACCAGCAAACGCATGCATGCATTAATACAGTAGGAAAACTGGGAGGGGGTACCCCTACAATCTCATGTTTGGCATATTCGCTGAGGTTTAAATTGCTGATCCAAACCAACAAGCAGCTGAAGACTTCAAGTCTGGGTTTTGTACAGTTTGGCAAGAGCTGTAACCTTCAGACTGTTGTGTGGACGTGAGTGTCAGTGCCATTTCCTCCTCAAATAGGTTAAAGGTTATCGGAGATGGAATTGGGCCCTGTTAGGGAAGAAGGCTGAGGAAACTGTGCCTACCTAGGGAAGCAAAGCTGGGTTTATGTGCCAAGCAGCTTAGCACATCAGGGTATATGTGGCATGGCTTGCTCAGCACACCCTGCTTTACTGAGGAAATATATAGATACTTAAAGTCATCTTTGTAGACACCTAATGCACTTTGCGTTTCCAGCCCATTCTCCTTTCATATCTTAGTTCTCTGTATTATAAGATGATGATGGAATATTCCTATCTCAGAAGTGCTCCAAAATATGTGGATAAATAATTTTTAAAAGTAAATTTTAGATCACAAGATGCCTAGCTGCAATAGCAGTGAGGTCCATAATAAATTGTCAGGAGTTAAAACTGGGGTCAATGACAGAAGGCTCATTCATTCCAATGAAAACAGGACTGGGCCCCAAGAAGTCAAGTATTGAAAGAGAGCTTGTAAGAAAACCACATGTGACTACGTCCCCTCCCTTAAAATAGCTGAGAAAGCAGGAAATATCCAAGCCTGGGTTCCTGTGTCAACTAAGTTGTAGGCAAAGTGCACACCTGCAAGTACCAAGTCTTCAGCAGCTGCAGCATCACAAGGCCTCTCTGTAACAGCATCTCATAAGTTATCTGGCAGAATACTTGCCATCCTCATTAAACTCCTGGCCAAAACCTGTCTGAGCACACTGTTATTTCATGCAGCAGCATTAGCTTCCTCACCCCATACTAGTAGGGATAGATTCTTGAAAGTGTTGCCCTGGTGAGAGACAGTCAGCAGTGGGATAGACAGAGCTGCTTGGCGATTGTTGAATGAATTCATAGGCCCACAGCCATGTATCATGGAATCATGGAGTGAAGTTCGGTTCCTATCTGGGTATATCTTAAGTTGCCACAACTGGAGAGAGCTTATTGTTAGATTTCTCTCCAGTTTCGGGCCCCTCTCTACAAGAAGGACATTGAGGTACTGGAGAGGGTACAGAGGCGGGCTACCAAGCTAGTAAAGGATTTGGAGCGTGTCTCATATGAGGAACCGCTGAGGGATCTGGGGCTGTTTAGCCTGGAGAAGAGAAGGCTGAGGGGAGACCTTATCGTTCTCTACAACTACCTGAAAGGAGGTTGTAGCGACGCAGGGGTCAGTCTATTTGTCCCTAGTCTGTCCCTAGTAGACCCTAAGGTCTACTTGTCCCTAGTAACAAGCAATAGAGCAAGGAGAAATGGCTTTAAGCTGCACCAGGGGAGGGTTAGGCTGGATATTAGGAAGAATTTCTTTACTGAAAGGGTTGTCAAGTGTTGGAACAGGCTGCCCAGGGAGGTGGTGGGGTCACCATCCCTGGAGGTGTTTAAGAGACGGGTAGGTGTTGTACTTAGGGACATGGTTTAGTGGTGTTGGTAGAGCTAGGACAAAGGTTGGACTCAATGATCTTGAAGGTCTCTTCCAACCAAAACTGTTCTATGATTCTATGATCTCATAAAATACTTTGGAAGACCAAAATTTTCTTGCACCAAATGCTGACCACTCTTTTACCAAGCCTCAGAGAAGTTTGTTTCTAAATATCTTACAGGACCCACATCCCAACCTGTCCATGCATTGGACAAGAATGCTTGTTTGGTTTTATATTACTATCGTACTCGGCAGAACAACTCTCAGTTAATGTTTATAACTTTGTGTCATTCTGCAGCCCTCTTGTTCAAGCAGGAAAACAAACAAATAGATTATGTAGTCCTGACCCTCTCTTTCCCACACTGCTAAACTCTTCCCCCACCCCCCTTACAGAATGACGTTCTTGGTCATGTGGTTTATCATAGGACAAGAAACACAGATTTTTTGGAAGCTTCTTCTTAAAATATCAGCTGCCCATAGCTGTCTTTGAATAATATCTCTGTAGCAGTATCTCAAGCACTTAAAAGAAGCTGTGTTACAAAGCTTGGCATTTCTGTGTTTCTTGTATGAACTAAGTGGTAAGTTCCAAGCATGTGTCTGTGAAGCAGATCAATGAAGGGATAGCTATTTCTATGCCTGCCACTCTGCTGGAGATGGGAAAGGAGCAGGGCTGGGGGTAGGAACTGTTGTTTTAAGCCAGTTTTATGTTTTCCTAATTTTGTCCCTGCCCTGTGGCCACCCATGCAATTTACAGTCCCACAGGTCTGCGCCGAGCTGCTTCCCATAGAGAGCCTGGTTGCCAATTTGGAGTTGCTGAAGTGGGGTGTGCGCTGGGCAGTCCTCTTGCGACCGCAGCACTCCATCCAAACGCCTTCTCCAGAGGCCCAGCACTGTTGTGTTGGGTAAAGCTGTCCTCTGGAAGGGCAGCCGTTCTGCCAGCATGCTTTGAAGGGTCTTTATGTGTCTTTTTTTCAGCATTAACAGCATATAAGGACCATAGTCTCAGAGAGTAAAAGGTTTTACAGTTTCCCTCTTCCAAACCTTTGTTCAGAAAAGTACCAGTCTGATCTCTTTTTAGCCCAACCCTTGAAGCAGCAATAAGCAATTATAGAAGCAGTTCTGTATCCTTGTCTCCAGTGCTTTACAGGCATTATTATACTCTAAACATAGGCTCAGAAGATCCAAGATCAGCGTTTGTGGGCTTGGATTGAACCTCTCTGCTTGTGAATTCCAAGAAACTGTTTTCCTTTATAGTGCAAGTGACTAGAAATATTGCTTATTTTAGTGCTGCTTTCATTTGTCTGAGTAATTTATAGTAGACCGGGAACATGCTGCTTCTTAGCTTTGCGTGTTTGTTAACGAATGTGATCTATCTGACACAAATCTGTACTTTCTGTACGTGATTCTACAATCTATCAATAGACAAGCTGTGAGAAGTCACTGACGTATTCCTCTGTGGCTTGTACATCTGAAGACACCAGTTTTAATGTATACCTTGTTGTTGTACACTCAAAACAGTCAGTCAAGAAAAAAAGAAATCACTCAGTGTTAGGTTAAAAAAAAAAAAAGGAAACAGGAGATTTTTCAAAGGCCTTGACATTTTTTCCTCCGAGACTTTAAGTACTGTGGTCTTGTTATCCAGCTGCTGCAGCGACAGGATGTGCTAGAAATGTTTAAAATA